ATTTATTTCATGGTATTGTAACAAGCAAACGTTGAATACATTTTTCATTCGTGTAAGAAGAATTATTTAACACGATAAATTTAGCTGTACTATGGTTATTTTTAATCTACGACCACAGGTCAACCTGATTTTTAATCCCTACGAAATTAATTTAACCACGAGTAAGTAACGAGAACGCTAAAACCTATGTTTCCATTGAAGAATATTGTAAAAACGTATAAATTGTTATATGCAATGTTATAACAAATTGTCGGAAGTATAAATTTTTAATAAAATTGTGAAAATTGATAAATTATACCGTGTTACGATATCGGAAATCTCCCGCGAAAATCTCCCGCGAAAATTTCCCGCCTGACCTAACCGACGATTTTGCTAATGACTTTGGGGAGAGGGTACCGCAGGTATATAAGGACCCGCCGATGTCCCGCGAAATCATTTACCCTTTATACTGGGCCCTAGACACTTCGCGGCGTATTTTGACCTGAAGGTTCTGAGATGTGAATAGAGTGGTCGGGGGCTACTAGCTAGTCTATGTCCACCCTGTACACACTCAGCCTTCTTGTAACACTTGTATACATTAGAATCAATTAGAATTTCTATTACTAATTATTAAACAAATTTTAACAATTACCGGCACTCGCTAGGCACGTAATATCAGACTTTAAATACTCGACTTCGAACTTCGGTTTAGTCATAATTCTATTAATGTTATAATAACGTATAATTTATTAATTTTCACAATTTTATTATTAATTTATACTTCCAAAAATTTGTTAAAACATTACATATTATTATTTATACATTTTTGCAAGTTTCTTTGACAAATAAGTACGTTTCAACGATCTTATTACTTTCTCGTTGTGAAATCAAGTTCGGAGGATTAAAAATCAGGTTGACCCTTGGTCGTAAATTTAAAATAGCCATAGTGAAGGTGAAATTATTATTTTAAATAAATGTTTCTATACGAATTAAGAATCTATTCAACGTTTGTTTGTTGCAATACCGTGAAATAAATTGTATTATATATTTTCTCAGTTTAGACTGAATTTAAAGTTCGTAAGGATTAGAAATCAGGTTGACCTGTGGTCGTAGATTAAAAATAGCCATAGTGAAGGTAAAATTATTACGTTAAATAATTGTTTTTATACGAATTAAATATTGATTCAACGTTTATTTGTTGCAATACCGTGAAATAAATTGTATTATATATTTTTTCTGTTTACACTAAATTTAAAGTTCTGTTTACATGTTATAACAATTAGAATGTAGACGTTTTGCCGTTTCACGGTTTTTCCTCTGTTAATTATGTGTTTATAAATCATTTCAAACTAAAGCAGCACCATGCCCACCCTTAATTAAACCGTCTCAGTAGTTTACCGTAATTAATAATCTATTTTCGGAATTTATACGAGAATTTTTGAATTTTAGTAAATACTAGAGTCAGTGTCCACCCTGTACACACTCAGCCTTCTTGTAACACTTGTATACATTAGAATCAATTAGAATTTCAATACAATAGACTGAATAACAATTCATTTTAACTAATACCTATTAGAAATTTTCCTTTTAAAACAAATATAAATCATTTTACCAATTACTGGTACTTGCTAGACATTTAATATCAGACTTTAAATATTCTCCTTTCGGTTCTTTTAAATACAATCAAATAATTTCTTCAATTATCGATACTGACTTGGAATACTCCGCTTCGAATAAAATATTTCGAAATTATTTTGAAGGTTTAGGGAAATAAACATTTGAATTTTAGTCATCGTTGTTCTTCAGACTTGTCGAATAGGATATTGAAATGACTTTGAGAGGTTGCTTTTTCGTTACAGCAATTGAAATTGATTTGAAATTTTTCTTTCAGTATTTTTCATATATTTTCTCTGATATTGAATTTATTTTATGACTTGCTATTTTGTTTACTAATAATTTACCATCCAACGAATTTGCATGAATTGTATGTTAAGTAGTTAGTTGATTTATTATTGTATATTGTGAGATGATTTGGAACGAGTGCACTATGCCCACCCTAAATTAAACCGTCTCAGTAGTTTACCGTAATTAATAATCTATTTTCGGAATTTATACGAGAATTTTTGAATTTTAGTAAATACTAGAGTCGTTGCATCGTGTATTGAAATAATAGCTTCATCCCTAGTTCGCTTATTATTGAATATTTTTACGCGTTTAACTTATGCTTCTCCCCAATTCTGGTCACAATTTATATTATAAATTTATAGTTCCAAGAATTTATTGTAACACTACAAATAATAATTTATACGTTTCTACAACTTTGTTCAATAGAAAACTACGTTTCCATGTTCTCATTACTAACTCCTGATTAAATTATTTTCGTAAGGATTAAAAATTAGACTGATCCATGGTCATCGATTGAAAGTAACCTTAGCGAAGGTATTTATTACGTTACATAATGTTTTATACGCGTCAGAAGTTTGTTTAACATTTATTTGTTATTATACCATGAAATAATTTCTACCTGAAATTTTCTCTAATTTATGTCTTCGAATTTAGTATGATTGTTTACTTCTTTCTTACTCGAATTCCGCATTGAAGGAGTTACAGTTTCTCCAAATTTTTGAAATTATATAGTGTTTTCTTAAACTTCATAAATAATCATACATTTTTCATCCTACTTACTCAATTTTTTCGAATTTAGTATGATTATTTACTTCTTTCTTACTCCACTCAGTTGACCTGAATTTTTGAAATTAAATCGTGTCTCTTTAAAATTAATAAATAATTACACACTCTCCACCTTAATACTTATTCATTTTTTTCAAATTTAGTATTATCATTTCCTTCTTTCTTTCTCTACTCAGTTGACCTGAATGTTTGAAATTGTATCGTGTCTCTTTAAAATTAATAAACAATTACACACTCTCCATCTTACTACTTATTCCCTTTTTTCAAATTTAGTATTACCGTTTCCTTCTTTCTCTACAAAATTTTTTCAAATTTTTACTCACAAGTTCCAATCCATTTTTTATATTATTCCGGATACTGTTCCATAAAATGTCACAGTACCGTGCACCGCGTGTCATACGCTCGGTAGAACTGAAATACCGGGAGCACTATTTTATGTATTCAGAGTAAAACTATCGCGAGTTGCTCTCGAGAGTATCTCTCGCGTCTGAAAGTGACTGTTTCAGAGCATCGCTCAACTCTCTGAGATTTACGACTCGAATAAACAGTTGCTTTGCAAACACGAAACAGTTTCGTATTCTTGAGAGAACTCTCGTGCGAGTAAAAAAAATCAGGAACAAAAATTAGTGGAGAAATGAAATCACCGGATACACAATTAAGAAATGCAAATTCTGTTAGAGTCTTACTTTTTTATTGTATACCTGTCATGACGATTATTTTATTATATTTACGTCAGTTTATTATAACTTTTATCACTTCGAGAATAAATAATTAGTAGTTTCTGATTGCTTCGAATATAAGCATTGTGTCATCAAAGAATTCCTTGTTTCGATTAATTTGTCATTAATTATTTTTCATTATTTTTGGTTTTTATTAAACACTAATGTACAACAATCTTTGTAAATAGCACTCAATATGAGTTTCTAAATGGTTAATTTACGAACAGACCATCATCCGAAGAAAACGAGACGGAATATAAGTTATAAGTATGGTCATACTCATACCTTGAACCACATTTCTCATAACTATCCCATCATTTCCGGGAAAAATGACAATTACATTTTTCGTTCCTTAGGATGCGTAGAACCATGCTGTAAAAAAATTTTTCGTTCCGGCCGTATGCCAAAATTGACCTTTCTTTAACATCCTCCTTTTCAGATAATAGAACAATCACTTCTCTTTATATTAAACTTTATTTATTTACATGGATTGGTGATTTCCACACTTTGTTTCAATATACAAGGATCCCATATCTTTTTGGCTGCTAAATCACATAACTTTGTTAACACAAATAACTATGTAGAATTACATTCTTTTGTACCTCATACCATTAAGCATGCATCTACAATTCTCTGTCGCATATCTTCCGGCGTTGTTGGAGGTTCTTTATAAACTTTTTCCTTCAATATATCCCATAAAAATGCTTATCCATCAATGCAGACGTCATAGAATTACGACCCTGCCAAATTCTACGAAGAATTGCGGTGCAAGGGACGCAACATGTACATTCTGTATATCTGTTGATATGTCTATTCAATCCCTGGTTAATTGAAATTGTCGTTGGAGAGTAAAAGGGCAGTAACTAAATTATTATTAAACTATTACTTGTTGAACTAATGTTCATTCATATTTAATTTCGTATTACGAAAAATTGTATATTTCCCATAAAGTTAATACTTGTTTTATGTAAAGTTACCGTAATATTAAGAGCATTTTGTATTTGTGCAGGGTGGCTTTTACTTCTTCCACCTGTTAGACCGTTACGCAGCCGGCTATTCGATGTTGTTTGCAGTTTTGGCAGAAACGATCGCCGTCAGTTGGATTTATGGAACAGACAGATTTTGCGCCGATATTAAAGACATGATTGGATTTTCACCTGGAATCTATTGGAGAGTCTGCTGGAAATTTGTAGCTCCCATATTCCTCATGGTATACCAATGCTGTGTAAAGCAATAAAATTAGTTGAGGTGTTTTAATATTATTTGTGTAGAACTTTAACTTATACTTTGCAAAATAGTAATTTCTTTTAGTAACATCCTTTTTACTTTATCCTATATACATTTTTATGTTCGTAACATATTTTTCTAGATGCAATAAGAGGAAGACATGATAGCGGGAAAAATTGAACTGTTTAAATATACATATGTATAGATCTAATACTTTTCTAAGATCAAAAATTTTTTCGCAAGTACAATGGTGGATCAGCAATACACTGCTGCTTTTTTTCTTTTTTAACGGAAAAATGCATTTCTTCTATTACTTCTAATATAAGAAATTATATTTTCAAATAATATACGAATCATGTTTAATTTACGCTTGTTCTCCCTCAGGATGAATAATAGACAACTTAAAAATTGTATACTCATCAAAAGTGAGAACACAAAAGCTTGCGTATTAAATAAATTTTTAATTTTGTTGCAGTTTATCATTGTTTATGGTCTGATGGGTTATGAACCACTGACTTATGAGGATTACGTGTACCCCGTCTGGGCAAATATATTAGGCTGGTTAATTGCGACTTCCTCAATTGCCATGATACCCGGCGTTGCAATTTACAAAATCGCGGTCACGCCCGGCAGTTTTATGCAGGTAATAAATCTTGATCTTATGATCTTCATATTTTCCAACATTTCCAATTTATAATATATAATGACTAATAAAAATATGCTTTACCAATACTTTCTGTAACTAATTCTAAATTAAAAATGTTATAGAATATGGATTCATTTGCTAACGAGGAACTTATCTGTTTTAAATGACAAATTACACAGTACAG